GTTTTCTTAGATTCATTTTTCATATATATCCCACCTTCCGTTATTTGCAGCTATTTCTTCACCTGGCAATCTACTTCTAAGTAATTGGCCAATGAAAAGCCTTTTGAATAGCAGCAGAAAATTGTATACTACAATGCCAGAACATTAACCCATCAGGTTTGGAGGCATTCAAAATATGACTGGGGAAGTGTTGCTTCCTCAGCATAGTTTCAACATTTTAATCTGAGGACCAGAATTTGCTAATGGGATATGATTCAAAATGAAAAGAAACGTCTGTAAACATCTAGTGAATCTGAGTAATTAAGTGATTTAGTGGTTCAAACTGGGTTTAGAATGTTTTAGCTTTCACTTACAGGTAGAGTTAGAGTTGTTAAGTGCCATCCGTTCGGTTCCAACTCCTAGTGACCCTGTAGTAGGTTTCCCAGGAGTAGCTGGTGGGTTTAAACTTCTAACCTTACAGGTAGCATTCCAGTGCTTATCCTACAGAGTGTCACACTAGGACTGTTAGTTATGAAACGGGTAGTTGAAATGTTTTGAAATATTTTTAATATTAAATTGTTAAGAGAGACATGCGTTTAAAATGACATGTTTAATTTTCCTGAGATGACTTATAATGCATGAATTCTCTGATACTTTTCCTCAGGTTTAGCTGACAGATTTGAAGAATACCCTAAACTAAGGGAGCTTATCAGACTGAAAGATGAGCTAATAGCTAAATCTAACACCCCTCCTATGTAAGTGTTTTTATTGATTTATTTTTGTTCCCAATTTTGATTTAAACTTTCAGTTTATCTCATAACCTTTCTGTTAAAAAGACATTTCAATACCTATATTAGATTAAGGTAGTCTACTTCTTTATAATCAAATATGTTCATTTGAAACTATAGTTATGTATACACAGTAAGTTCTCATTTAATGTTTTTTCCAGCTTTTTGGACAGTTTTCTTAAAATGTCTTTAAAATTTTTTTTTCTTAAAAAATTCATGATTATTCTGTTCTTAATACCTTTTTTAAAAATGTAAATATAGTCTTATTACTAGCTAATTTGTTAAATGTGGAAAGTTTACAAACTTAGATGAAGAAAAAGAAAAGAATAGGACTTAATTATATCTCTGCATTCAGAGATAACTATTCTTAACATTTTAGAATAATTCATTTTATCCTTTGGTAAACACAATGTTTTTATTCTCAGAAGTGTGTATAAGGTCTTTGAAATTAGAGAATCTATTTGTTCACATTTAGCTTACTCTGTTTTGTACATTTAACAATTTGATAAAATGTATCCTGTTAAGAATTTGAAGTACCATGAAAATTTTAGCAGACTCTAATATATTCATCCTATTTTAAAATTGTTATTATTGTTGTTAGGTGCCATTGAGTTGGTACCAATTCACAGTGACCCTATGCACAGCAGAACAAAACACTGCTTGGTCTTGGGCCAACGTCATAATTGTTGCCACACTTGAGCCTATTGATGCTGCCACTTGGCCAATCCATCTCGCTGTGGGTCTTCCTCTTTTTCTCTGACCCTC